GCAGCACATCTGCTGTCCCAGTGCAGACTGGGGTCTCTTCCCAAGTTTCCTTCTAAGACAATTACTTTTTTGAAAATTAAAGAAGAAGTTTCCTGATTTTATTTAAACTTCATTCATGCCATTCCCCCTGGGAATGTCTGGATGTTTGGAGGAGAAGGAAGAAGGAAGGAAGAAAATTTCCCCTTTGGAAGATAGGTAAGGGCTCCCGTCTTCTCCTCACCAGGTTCAAGGCTCTTTCTTTTTTGGTAAGATCAGGTATAACTCCAACTGGCTTCCTCTGCAGCCCCTTTCTTCTTTCCCTCCCAGTTTTACATTTCATATCTCCTTCATTCCTCCCAAAGGGTCCCTGGAGCTGTGTTCACTGCGTGCTTCTACACCGGCTAACGGTCCTGGCCAGACCTTATGTTTAAAAACACATTAGTTAACTTTTCAAACACTCACATTGCCAAGGTTTAACACCTGGAAAATCTGCTTGCAGGGCATGACTGGTCTTGGAAATGTCTGCAGAGATGGAGCCACAAAAGCCTGCAGGAAAGCTGTGACAGCCCAAGCTGTGGTGCCAGCAAAGGGAGAGGGGAAAAAAAGAGTCTCCCTGCCCCCCCTTTTTTTGCTCCTTGGATGGTGTTTATAGAGCGCTCCAATTCTTCTTCTTATGTCACTTGGCAGGCTGTAAAGTAAACCTACAAGTATAAACATCTCCGGGAAATATATACAACTGTTAAATAGGTAATTTATCCTCCCAAATTTCAGTGTGACGCTTCAGCTGTAAAACTCAGCTTCCACTCATGCTTAATGCCACGGGGGTTTTGCTGAACTCCACTTGGAGTTGCTCAGATCTTTTATTAGAGATACACACTGCCGTGAATTTTGTTCCTTTCTTGCAAAAGATATTATTCCTGAATAAATAAATAAATTTGTTTCCCTTAGAATATAGGAATTATGAAACACATCTGTTTGAGGATTTTTAGACTGGTGGTGTTCTGTGTATTGTGGTTGCAAAGTATGAGCTATTTACTATTCCTGTTTGTAGGATACTTATACTAGATCTCATGGTAATATTCTCCTTCTGAAATGGGTAACTCAGACTTGCAGCACCAGGGAGGAGAAAGGAATGAATTCTTCAAAGTATTTGTTCAGAAGGGGAATTATTAATGCACAAATTAATGAAATACATGGATACATCATTAATTCTTGGCCTTTGTCTTGTATTACTTGAAGAGATGCAGAGACCCCAAAATCATCATTTAAAAATTCATAGATGTTCAGTAAAAAAACGTGGTTTGACTTCATCTGCTAAAAAGCATTTTACTGAGGCATCACCCAGCCAGCTGTGGGAGACTGAAGGATATTCTTTTAATTGGTTAAACCTCTAAGTGCTTTATAATTGCTTTCACTAAGCAGCTTCTGTAACAGAGCAAATGTTACCTGGAACTGATTACATTTTAATAGGCTTAGCCAGCGTCCATCCAGGGACATGTAAAGCCTCCCCTTGATGTCCATCAATTTGTCTCAACGTCGTTATCAGAGCTCAGCTGTGCCATTCAATAACTCCTTCCCTCCATCCATGTGGGAACTGATCTGACAGGCACCTGGGAGGTGCTGAGGGCTGCTGGGAGGAGAACGGGCTCCAGGCAGGTGTGTTGGTGGGGAAATAAATCCATGTCATAAAACTGACCCCTTTCAAGAAGATATTTTGGCTGAACAGCACTTCCATCCTGAGCCAACCTCAAATACACCTTGATTTTTGAGCAGCTGTTTGGAATGTGATAAGGTACAGAAGGTTTATATGGCTGTCTATGTCTGCATATGGAATGCAATGGCCTGAGAGAGTAAATGAGGTTTTACCCACTGAAGGCTGATTGTTGGATGGAATTCCTCTCTTGTGAGGAACAGCTAAGAAAATAGGGGTTGTTCTGCCTGGAGAAGAGAAGGCTTCAGGAAGACCTTTTGTAGCCTTCCAGTACCTGAAGGGGCTCTGAGAAGGCTGGAGAAGAACTTTGGACAAGGGCATGGAGTGACAGGACAAGGGGGAATGGCTTCAAACTGGAAGAGGAAAGGGTTAGACCAGAAGAAATTCTTCCCTGTGAGGGTCGTGAGGCCCTGGCACAGGTTGCCTGGAGAAGCTGTGGATGCCCCATCCTTGGAAGTGTTCAAAGCCAGGTTGGATGGGGCCCTGAGCAACTTGGTCTAATGGAAGGCGTCCCTGCCCATAGCAGGGTATTGCAATAAGATGGTCTTTAAGGTCCCTTCCAACCCAAACCATTCTGTGATTCTACGATTACTCTGTTGGGTGTATGTGCATGTGAGCGTTTAAGAATTATTTAGAATTTTATCAAATTATTGGCATATCAGGCTACGCAAACAGAGAATATTCAACTTTCTGTGAAGCATCACACAGCTCTGAGACACTCAGCATCCCAGGACTGTAATATAGCCAAGGAATAATAATACAAATTGGAGGTGGTTTATAGCTGGAGAAATGGAAGGAATTGGATGGAGGAAGGAAAGTGTGAAATCTCTTGGTGTGAGGTATTTTTAACAGCAGAACTGGCTGCCCTGTTATCTTCATAAAAGAGCTGGGAAGCTGCCAGTGCCTGCAACTCACTGAATTTGGATCCTCACACCTGATGAACATTGACAGCAGAGAGGGAATTACAATCAGGAATCACATACTTACTGAATTAATGAGGTGGCTTCCAGGCAACAGGGCTGACACATGACCACTCTCATCCTCACCCTGATCCTGATCACCCTCATTATTTTATAGATGATTAAAGTCAGAAACAGCCAAGAAAATACAGAAATGCTACCAAAGAGGAGGAAAATGATGTTGTGGATGTTTCAAATGAAGCTGTTAGCCTGATCACCTTCAGCTCCTGTTTCAGTGTAAACAAATACCTACTCTCAGTATGTTTGGAGCAAGGAAGTTTTTTTCTGCTCTGATCTCATCCAACAGCTCTGCACACCATGAGCTGCAAAAATTTCTTTTTTAAGCACTAGTTTTACAAGTTCGGAAACATTTCACCATTAATCCAAAGTCAACCTCTTTGTTCTTCAGGCCAAAGTTCCCTTTTGGAAATGGAAAATACTTTGACCCCCGTGAAGCTCTGATTTCGTGCCAACAGTTTTAATAGTGGGGACAAGCGTCATTTTTCTTTTCCCATCCTCTTCCATAAATTAGCCTAGATCCTGTACATGGCTTTGGCTGCCATGGATGCCTGGATAAATCATGAACATCCTTGTGTATTTTTTGCTACTTTTCTGACAGCTCACAAGCCTGGGTTATTAAAAAAAAAAAAAAGTCGTGAGGAAGGGATGACAAAAGTAAATGTGAATCAAGCACCTCCAGTAATCAAGCGCATCTGAAAAATGAGATGCAGCAGGATTTCACTCACATTTGGATAAAAAAAGCCTTTCTGCAGAGTGGAATGAATCACAGACAAAACTGAGCAAGGGTTTTTTCATCTACTGGATCTTCCTCAGCACAGAAAAGCAACAAGCAGCCACCCTCTCATCGTCTTCCTAGCAGGGAGGGGAGCTCAATCCTGCTGCCAGGCTGGCCCTGCAGAGATGCAAAGATGCATGGAATATCTGGGCATCACTGCCTGGGGGCCCCATGGTGTGCCCTTTTGCACCATTTCAGGCTTCTCACTTTTGCCACCTGTTCTCAGCTTTTGCAGTACACAACAAAAGCAAAAATTTGTCTGAAGAAGAAGAGGAAAAAGAAAATTACAGTCATTGATCAGAAAGAGAAGAGCTGTTTTTCAGTGCCTTGGAGGAGATGTGGATCTGTGGGCAAGGGATGCACTTCCACCACTGCCAAGCAATGCCAGGTGTAAGTTTAGGCTTCTCTCTTATTATTCATGAAGAGCTCTCTCTTCTTGATGATCAAAGAGTATACAATGCTAAAAGGAGAGAGAGGTGTGAGGTGTTGTAGCAAAGTGAGAAAAGGCAGCTTCTCACTTAATGGCAGCAGGCAGAAGTGTTAAGAAACAGAAAAGGATAGCATGGAGTTGAGTCCTTGCAGGCTCTGAGCCAAAGCAAGGCTCCCTCCTCAACCCCCTGTGGATAACAGTTCACTGGGGTGCAGAGACAGTAAATAAACACGGTCCAACAAGATAATTATGAGGAATTTAATGATCCCTTTTCTCAGTAGGTGTTTCCCAGTGCAGTGTTCGAAGCTGGGATGCATGTGGTGGCTCATCTATGGTATGGGCATCAAGCGCTGTATGGGCTGCATCCCTTGTGAAAAACTGCTGGAAAAATCTCATGAAGGTTCTTGTAGCCTTCTCTAGGGATTTCTCTCCTTGTTGGAAATATGGCCCTGGGCAAAGCACTTCAGCTACCAAGATGCCCCACCCCTGGAAGTGTTCAAGACCAGGTGAGATGGGGCTCTGAGCAATCTGGTCTAGTGGAAGGTGTCCCTGCCCATAGCAGGTGGTTTGGAACTAAGTGATTTTTATGATCCCTTCCAAACCAAACCATTCTAAACAGCAGTCAGAAAGCTTTCTGCTAACAAACTCTCACCATATAATGTTTAAAACCAGTACAGACATACTTTGTTAGCTATTTTGGGTACTACTTTAGAACAGCTTTTGCTTTATCATCTATAAATTTAACCTACCAGATTCTTTGGTCTTTTCCTCAGCTTATTTAGTCGAGCTGTCTAGTATTTTGCAAAACAGCTCAATTCCTGAGTGCAGAATCTTTTATTTAAGCTCTGCCTGAACCAAAGCTCTGCAGAAAAACAACAGGAGTGAAGTGATACATGCAAGGCTTAAGTTGCTATTGACCAGATCATTAAAATGCTGGTTTTGCTTTTTCAGAGAGTCTCTGCACGCGAGCACGTCTGTTCTTTACCTTTGCGTATCAAGAAGCGAAGGCAAAAGAAAGGGACGTTTTGAGGGAAAGCATTCACCGATTTCAGCTTGTTCCTGTCCGAATCACATTCACTCAGACACCCCTGGCCCAGCCCCACGCCCAAAGGAGCCCGTACTTACGCAGGACCCTCACGCCGTGTTTCAAGGCCTGCACGCGGCTGGGCTCCATGGACATGCTGAGCATCGTCTGCTGCCCGCCGATGGTGCACACCTGGTTCTCCTGGGCCGCCTGCTTGAACATGACAATGAGCTGGTTGGCGATGATGGTGTTGAGCACGGAGATGACGACCATGGGGAACACGAAGGAGATGAAGGTGTTGACCTGCAGGGGAGAGACGCGGCACTGTCAGGGGATGAGAAGGATCAGCGGGACAGGAGGTGGTATCAGTTCCTGGCCTGGATCAGGAACAGTGTGGCCAGCGGGACCAGGGAAGTGATTCTTCCCCATGGCACCTTGAGTGCCATGTCCGGTTCTGGGGCCCTCAGTTCAGGAAGGACATTGAGGTGCTGGAGGAGGTCCAGAGAAGAGCAACAAGGCTGGTGAAAGGACTCGAGTACAAGTCCTATGAGGAGAGGCTGAGGGAGCTGGGGTTGTTTAGCCTGGAGAAGAGGAGGCTCAGGGGAGACCTCATCACTCTCTACAACTCCCCGGCAGGAGGGTGTAGCCAGGTGAGGGTCAGCCTCTTCTCCCAGGAACCAGCAGTAGAACAAGAGGGCACGATCTTAAGTTCTGCCAGGGCAAGTTTAGGTTGGATATCAGGAAGAAATTATTTACAAAGAGAGTAATCAGACACTGGAATGGGCTGCTCAGGGAGGTGGTGAATTCACCAGCCCTGGAGGTGTTTCAAGTAAGACTGGATGTGGCATCAGTGCCATGGTCTGGGAACCACAGCGTAGTTGGATCAAGGGTTGGACTTGATGATCTTGGAGGTCTTTTCCAACCCAGCTGATTCTGTGATTCTATGGTTCTAGTGTTTTAATTTCTCAAAGCAATGGAGGAACAGCCTGCAGTGGAAATCTTTCCCTTCCTCTTACTCAGCTGGTTTTGGCTTTTGAAGGTTTATTGTGCAGAGGGAAAACTCAAACATCACTGACACATGTTCTTTCATGTGGGTCAACACTTGAAAAAGGCAAATTCATTCACATCCAATTAAATTCTTTTCCCTTTTCAGCGCAGTTCATTGCCTGAAATGTCTCAACTGAAACATGCCATTGATCTTCCCATCTCACAAACAGCAGGATGCTGCTTAGCTTTCATCATGCGTACCATGACTTCTAAATAACAGTGTGTTATTGTCTTTTTTGCTGCATTATGAGCACTCCTTGTGATCTTCTTAACTTTCATTTTTTTTGTGTTCTGTCCTTTCCTTGTAGATTTAATGACAGCATTTTGTTATCTCGTAACTAAGTTATCCAATAAACCTTGTTCCTTAGAGGATTAAAATTGATCAGAATAAACAAGTGGAAGTTGTAATGTTTTTAGTACAAATTATTTGATTACTACGGTTTTGATAAAATTAAATGGAGGATCAAATTAAACAGTGATTGAATCAAGTAGAAGTCACTGTTCATGTCAAATGCAGGAAAGCTTTGTGAGGGCCTTTTGGGCTGTCTAGAAACCTCAGTGGAACTGGGCTTGACAAATGGCAGCCCAGGGAAATACAGGCATGTGTAGGATTTGCCTACATATCTGTGGCAAAGCTGCCATGGTGGGATGGTGAGCTGCTCTGCTGATCCCAGGGGCTCATCCTCTCTGCTGTACAGCTCAGAAGGAGACTTAACACATCACTCAGATGAGTGTGGGACAAATCAAAAGCCCTTTAAATATCTGAAATTTCAAAATATTGGCGAGAATAAAACTGTGCTGCAAATTGCTGTCGAAACAATTGTATTAAAAGTGATAAAATGACAGAAAGATAAAACTACCAAACTCAAGAGGGAATTTGCCTGGTGGTAGGGTTCCAGAGCATTCTGACTTCTTCCCCAAGCCACTTATCTTGCACCTCAGTGATCTAAACCACAGAAGCAACCCTGCACTGCAAGCCAACACCATGAACCCTCCTCAGACTGCAAAACCTCATCTACAGACTAGTGCTCCATCTGCTCGGATGGAGACAACCCCTCTCCACCCACCCACCCCTGCTGGCCCATCTCCAGAGTGGACAAGATTTGCTGTACACCCAGTGTCTAGTGCAGATTTGTGCTCTCTTTGCTCTGGAGGGATTCAGAAATGCCAGAGGTGAACAGAAACAATCCACCCACAGCCCCAGGGTGCTACAGGGGATCTGTGAAAGAAAGAAGAAGCACATAAGCATATGGGAGCAGGTGCACTGGCAATCAGAAGCATTTCAGTTTCTCTGTCCATAAATTTGAAGATGCCACTCCTCTTTAGGTGGAGACAGGCTGTGTTGTTGTTGCCAAAGTTTTCTTTAGATGGATGAAGTGTCCCTACAGCTTTTTGCTTTGGATCTCAACGTGTTAAGCAAAAGTACCAGCTGGGTTTTGTCTCTGGCAACCCACATGGTGAGAACATCTTCTCTCCTCTAATAATAGAGCTCCTCTGGACTGAGTGAATTCCTAGATACACCCCGCTATTACAAGCTGTTAATGACCTCTTTTGTTAAATATAAAGCAGTTTTCTAAGCTTCCAAAAGATCTCACAGCCTCCTTAGTATAATGAAGAGTTATCTTCTGGAGTCCTGTCCACAGGCTAAGACAGATCATTAAGCAGTAAGGACCAACTTCTCAGCTGGTACAAAATAAGAGAGTAATTTGTGTTTGTGAAGAACCTTCTTGGTTAACTTAACCTTCATGATGCAGCTGGGATGAGCTGGTGCACACAGGGGTAAAATAACTTGCTCAGACTTACCAGGTCAGACTAAGAAATGAGCCCTGCAGTTCTCACTCTTATTTCTGTGGCTTCAGCTGCTAAATGCCTTTCTTTTTCACTGCTGAGCAATGTTTGCACATCAGCAAAATGCAGCACTTAACTCTGTAAATGCTTCACTTTGTTACACGAGACTCAGAGTTTATTGGTTTTCATTCAAAAAACTTTGCCCTAGCTATAAATTAGTCTTGCTTAATATAATTTTGCAGAACTCAGAAAGTCTTTCCTGAGCTTTCTTAAAAGCCTTGATTCATTCCATAATTGCACTGAGAAGTCTTTAAGGAGCTTGGGAAGTTGTCTAGAACAGCATTGACTTTCCCTCTTATGAATTGTTACAGTAAAAGTGTGAATATTGCATACTTTCTATCAAAGACTATATTTAAAGATTTTTACCCTGTCTTGATTTGTACCAAAACTCTCATAATAGTTAAAAAAAAAATCAATATTTTCCCCAGTAGCAGAATGCTTTAATTTGTTGAAAGAATTATTTACAAACACAAACTCCTGAGGGCCATAAAGACTAGAAAAGCCAATTCTGCTCCTGCAAACCCCTTGTATTTCATGTTTTTCTGCTGAGCTGCTTGCTGGGCTGCATGAGCCCAGACCCCAGCACACTGTGCACATCAATGCAGCAACACTTCATTTTAGGTGACTTTGCACACTGCTGGAGCTGGTACCTCAAACAACTCTTCAAAGTCAGGGGAAAATTTCCCACGTGCTCAAGAGAAGCTGGTCTGGGATCTCAGGGCTACATTTGCAAAAGCTCGGGAGCAGGAAGACTTGTGGAGGTGTTTAATGGGATTTTTTACAGTGTCTCCTAACATCAGTGGACTAAGGTGGCCACAGCTGTCAGTGAACACCCATGGGAGCCTTTGGGTCCTTACGTATGTTTACAGATCACTTTGGCCCCAGGAAGGAGGATTTAGGCAGTGTGCAGGCTCATGTTTGACCTGAAGGTCTCAGGCTTTAGGTTGGCTCACCATGGAAAGGACAGTCTGTGTGATGCTGGATCTACACTAATTCTGTGTTCAGGGTTGTTTGGATGCACAGGCAGAGGGGTCTGGCCTTGTCTTTGCCCTATCCAAGCACAGTTCAGTCTGATTCTGCTCCCCCTCAAAACTGATGTGTTTGCATCAGTGTGAACCCACCAGTCCCATGGTCTCTGCCCAGCACCATGATGGGCATGGCCGTGCAGAATGGGCTCGGTGCAGAAGCCCAAAGCTGCGCATGTGAAGGCTTAGCACTGGCTGCTCTCTAGTCTAAAAAAAAACCCCAACACCACAAACCCCATGACTGAGTGCTAAATCCTCATTAAAAAAAATAAAGAAGAAAATCCAATACTACAATGTTTGCCACTGGCAGGACAGAATGAAACACTAACCCACTTCCATGCTGCTGTCACCCCTGTAATCAGTGCAATCCTAAATGCCGTTCAAGCACCAGTCTGGCAGCATCTGTGGGATGGGATTAGTCCTCAGGACCAAATTGTGTTTTATCTCATACAGAACAGCAACCTTCCCTTCCAGCACTGCCTGAGCACTGACAGTCAGAGACCTGAATCATTTTTCTCCAGCTGCCCCATCTTAGTGGCCGTGGGGGTCCTGCCCTACCCAGGCACGGAGCCTTCCTGGCTCTCTAATGATGCACTATTAGTGCCAGCTTTCTCTTAGCCCTCTATTGCCAAAGGTGATTTTAAAATGAAATACAAATCATTAAAATTATGCAGGGTTTTGCAGGACACAGGAGACAGAGCAGAGCTGGGCATGGAGCTTCATAAGCTCGTGGGAAATGGAAATTTATGGAAACTAAGTCAAACTCCTGGAAGGGAAAAAAATGCAGCTCTCAGCCTCATAGTCAACTCAAAAAAATCAGACATTGCACGAGACTAGAGAATTCAGCAAGATGTGAGTTTTCATCTTCCATTCAAACGGGAACGTGGGAGAGACACGGGGGAAGGGACCAGAAAAACCAAGGGACCCAAAACCAGAACTCAGTTCTCAGGTTTGCGACTCTTCCTAAATCTTATGTACAGAAAACTGCTCCCCTGGCTCTGCCAAGCTTCATGCTGACGTGATTCACTTTAGTCAAGTTGTCCCTCAAATCATTTGACTGTGTGGTTTCCCTGGGTTACCACTGAAAGCAGCCATCAGCTCACTCCAACCGTGACGGAGACGGTGAGCACAGAACTTCTCACAGGGACTCCCCAGAGGGCTTAAACAAGTCCAGTAAATCAGAAGTTTAGTGGAGATTTATTCTTTTGTGCTCCAAGCTGACTTTTGGAGAAACACAGACTTGAAGACCACTTTGGAAGAAGAGGTTTTTCCGTCCCTCCTACAAGCCCAGACTTTTGTCTTAGATGTATCTGAAGAGGAGGAGGGGAAAATTTACAAATATTACACCTGTTACAGGCATTTATGGACAACCTTTGCTCCCAG